AATCATGTGTCATTAAGCAAATCTGGCTTTCCCCATTGACTTTGCTTGTCAGAAGCCCCCTGTGAAGGTTGCAAATGGCGATCACATGACCCAGGGATGCTGCAACCATTGTAAATACATGCTGGTTGCCAAGCACCCAAATTTTGATCACGTGACCGTGGGGATGCTGTGACAGTTGTAAGTGTGAGGACCGGTCGTAAGTAACTTTTTCAGCACTGTCATAGCTTTGAACAGTCGTTAAACAAATGGTTGTAAGTCAAGGGCTACCTGTATGCTCTTTGAAAACCTTGCATGCAGTCCCTTGATATGTTCTGTTACTTTCACTGTAACAGGAAGGGGAAATGATCAAATATGCAATTAGAGAATAATCACATTAATGATATATAATTTTACTTGCATGTAAACAAAATAAAAGTCTGAATGGGGTTGGCAACAAATAAATGTAATTAATAAGTACATTTTGTTTTTGATCTGGTCTTTTTGGCATACAGTTACTAGCACATGCTCAATTATGGCTCTTGGACTAGAAAAGTGAATTTTTCAGCGAAAGCTGCAGCACAGGTGAACTGAAATCCCTGGATTTAAGTCAGCTCAATTATTTTTAAATCAATGAGACTGAATTGGCTTAATCCCAAATTATTTATTATTATGTAAAGGATTAAGCTAAACCAAGATAACACATTTTATGGAAAAGGAAACGAGAGATGAAAAAGGAGATGAAAATTATAAGATGAAAATTATAATTATAAGGAAGGAAATTAGTATTAAATCTTTATTTAGAATAACAGGACAAGTGGTATTAGGCTTCCTAAATAATTCATTGGTGGCAAAATAAATCCTTTGTCTGGATTTTTTAAAAAGGAATATGTCCAGTGAGTAGCACTTTTCTACAGAACTCTCCAGTAGTGCCAAGACTGAATACAAAATAGTGCTAATCAGTAAGAAATTTCTCTTTTGTTAACATAGAGTTCTAACAGTTGTTTAACATTCAAAGAACATATTCTGTTCTTTGAATGTAAACAGCCACCAGTACTTATCCAGTATTTGTTACTGGATTTATCTTTACAGATATTTTTTCCAAAGCCCTTACTGTATTTTGCTTTTTGGACCATTCCATGCCATATAAAAAACTTAGAGTTTCATTGTGACTTCTTATCATGAGTAAATTTTATTTTTAAAAGTGATGACATACCAAAGCTTCACATTTACATCACTTTGCTCACCATGTCCCACATATTCAACAGAGTCATCATCACTAGAATCATCAGTACTATCCTTCACTCTATCTTAACAAATATTATTTACCATAGAATACTATAAAAATTTATCTGGAATAAGAAGCACACGATCAAGAATAGCAGTGACAGCCAACATGGTATTTGCATTCAAGGTAACTCTGTACATATATTGTGGTTCTGCAGTGAATCACTACAAACAGTAGGTAGTTGGTTGTACTTATTGTACGGTATGATAAAGGCAAGTGTTTGGCATTTCAAAGAATACACTTCAGTGAACCTATATTTCAAAATCCAAGATACTCTTAATATCAAATTTGTTATGGTATGATTACTTTTGACACTTGTAACTTGATAACTGATGTCCAGAGAAGACTTCCATCTAGGTTTATAATCCAATTCCTGCAATATGCTGCAGGGATTGTTTGTTGAAAAAAGCACCATAACAGCATCTATCCACTTTCATGAGGGAGAATTTGCCTTGTGAAAAATTCTAGAGAAAAGTCTCTCTTTTCCTGTTTTTTATTTCAAATAATGCGATTTCTCCTCCAAATTCTGCCATGGAACAGCCCATCTTTCCCACAGAAACTTTTCTTCCCCTCCCTGAGTTAAATATAGGTGTGACGGTATAAAAATGCATTTGATTTTGGTTTCAAAAGTTTTCTTCACTAACTTTTAAATTGAATAATGGTTCTCATCAAGCTTTCCTACTCAAATATTTCATTTCTTTTGGTCTATGAATTTTGATTATGTGCCATCAAGTCATTTTCAACTCCTAGCAACCACATAGGTAGATTTTCTCCAGGATGAACTGTCCCTAGCCTGGTCTTTCAGGTCTTCCAACAGTGCACTCATCACCACTGTAACTGAGTCCATCCACCTTGCTGCTAGTCGTCCTCTTCTTCTCTTTCCTTCCACATTTCCCAGCATTAGAGCCTTTTCCAGAGGGCTACAGTGGGGCAAAAAAGTATTTAGTCAGCCACCAATTGTGCAAGTTCTCCCACTAAAAAGATGAGAGAGGCCTGTAATTTTCATCATAGGTATGTTCTCCCACTAAAAAGATGAGAGAGGCCTGTAATTTTCATCATAGGTATGTTCTCCCACTAAAAAGATGAGAGAGGCCTGTAATTTTCATCATAGGTATACCTCAACTATGAGAGACAAAATGAGAAAAAAAATCCAGAAAATCACATTGTCTGATTTTTAAAGAATTTATTTGCAAATCATGGTGGAAAATAAGTATTTGGTCACCCACAAACAAGCAGATGTCTGGCTCTCACAGACCTGTAACTACTTT